GCCGCTGCAGCGCGCCGCCGCCGCCTGCGCCGCCGCCGCACCCCGCCGCCCAAGCCCTCGCCGGAGGTAGCCGCCGGATCCAACCGCCGGTTTTTCTTAAAAACCATTCGGTTTTATTTTTTCAAAACCCTAGTTTTCGTTTTTTTAAATAGATCGGTTTTTCTCCGGTTTATTTATTTAGCGAGCGTTCGCTTGTTCGTTCGTTTTAATGAACACGTTCTTCGTTTAGATCCAGATAACGAACGTTCGTTCGTTAATCTGTTCGTTGTTTTTCTTTTTCTCGGATTTATTCCATGATTTTTCTAATCGCGATTTCTGATCCGATCTTAATTTCTATTTATCTTTTCGCTCGTTTATCGGAATCAGGCGATTCAAGCGCCTGGAGTTTCGTCTCGAAACCCTCTTTCCGGTTAATCAACTCAAACAAGTTTTTGCTACTGTAAAATTTGACCTAAGTTCAGATTAGTAAACGAAGTGGTTTTCTTTCGCCGTTTGACTTTTGTTGCTTCGTTTGTTTTGATTCTTTTTGCGTACCGGAGTTCTTAAGTTGAACTTTCTGGTCAACCTCTCTTATTTGAGTTTTGCTTGTGCATCGTTGCTTGTTACTTATATATGTTATTGTTTGCTTGCGATAGAATTCCCGGAGTGTGAAGCGTGTTACTACGAGTCTCTAGGATTCGCGGATCGTCAGCAAGGCAAGTAACACTTTGATCATATCCGATTATTACCCAGTTTTTATGCATTAGTTCTAATCCTCAAACATTGCATGATTAGGATGTCGATAACTTGTGGGTTGGGAAGTAGTTGCTGAGGTAGAACCTATTGCCCTGTTATATTCAAACCCTTGGGAGTTACTTCTACGTATTGCTTATATTGCTATGCTATGCTCGTAGACGTGGTTTGGGTTTGAGTGAAATTCATTACAGATGTGAGATTGTTAATTAATGGTTCAACTTAAGGTGGCAACTTAATCAAACAACTGGGTGGATTGAGGCACCTGGGGAACCTAGTGTTGTCTGTATTTTTTTGGAAATCCCGGGGTACCCGTGTGATCTTCCCATGGACTGCCACCCAGGCTCAAAGGGAACTGAGATGATTCATGCTAGAAACTTCCGT